AGCAATGATAAAACAGAAGACATACTGTATCTTCTATGTAGGGAACAAATAAAAAAAAAAAGCAGGGCTGTGGTGGCAGGTGCCTTTAATCCCAGCACTAGGGAGGCAGAGGCAGGCGACAGTCTGGGTTAAAGGATAACCTGGTCTACAGATTGAGTTCCAGAACATCCAGGGCTACACAGAAACAGCCTGTCTCAAAAAACCAAAACCCAAACTAAAACAAAACAAAACAAGAATTGAACAAAGGTGTTTGGTGTAGTGTAAGTGTGTCTATATGTGCAAGCGTGTGCCTAGGTGTGGAAATTTCTAGAAAGATTCTCAGAGAAGCTGGTAATGGTTGTGTTTGGTGAAGGGAATCTAAGATCTGAAGTTAGTGGCAGATCCATGCTATGAACTTCATGCTATGAGCTTCCAAGGTGTTTGAAAAAATGTACACATAAAAATTTAAGTGTGTTACACTGTTACCATGTTCACGACTGCCAACTTTCTAGGCAGTGTTCTGAAGGCTTTCCTCCTCAGAGATCTGAAGATGGAGGAACTAAAAGTCCTATTCCCGTCGCCATACTTAGAAAACAGACTATCTGATTATGCCTAGAGTTGTCAAAATGTGGAGGCAATGTGTGAAAAACGAAATATGCTCATCTTTCAGACGGAGCTGAGATGTATAGACACGGGTGTCGCTGGGTAACTGGGTCAGCCTCCCCCAGGCCTCCCCAAATAAAGCCTGGAGGAGCGAGTTGTCCGCTCTCGCCCCTGAGGAGAGCTGGTTGTTCTGCATCAGACCTACAGAACCATCTCAGGGCCCTGCGGGCCACGTTACCTCTCAAATAATCTACACAGGCTTGGGTCTTGTTCATTTATTTTTGAGACAGGGTCTCATGTAGCCCAGGCTGGCCTCAAATTTGTCATGCCTCCACCTCCTGGGTATGGGATTACAGGTGTGAGCTGCCACACCCTGTTTACCTGGTGCTGGGATTAAACTCCGGGGTCTGGGCTTACTAGGCAGGCACTAAGAACATCCCCCCCACTTCTCATTTCTGTAAAGACAGGATCTCGGTGTGTTAAATGACGGATTAAGTGACCCTCTCGCCTCGGCCTCCTGAGCTGCACCAAGCGGTGTGCCACCAAATCTGCTTTTGCACAGGACTTGTCCCAGAACCTTCCTAGATCTCTCTGGGCCCAGATATGTATTCACATGCATTCACATGTATTCGCATGTATTCACATGCATTCACGTGTCAGCGCTGTGCCTTGAAGAAGGAAGGTCACACGCTCACTCTGCAGTCTCTCTAGTGGCTATTCCTGGACTCTGTGCTAGACACCTTATCATTTGGAAATCGATATTCTCCAGTTTGTTTGTTTGCTTGCTTTTCAGACAGGGTCTCACTTGGGAGGTCTGGAATTCACTAGGTCGGTCTCAAACTCAGAAAAGATCCACCTGTCTCCAACTTCTGAGTGCAGGGGTCAAAGGCATGTGCCACCATATTTGGCCCCTTGGCTGCTTTATTTTTTTTTCTTTCAATACAGGGTTTTTCTGTGTAAGAGTCCTAGCTATTCTGAAACTCACACTGTAGACCAGGCTGGCCTCAAACTCACAGAGATTCGCCTGCCTCTGCCTCCCGAGTGCTGAGATTAAAAGTGTGTACCACCACTACCCGGCCCCTTGCCTGCTTTTTACCAAATACTTTCCTTAGTGTCCCAGATGTTTCTTTGACTTCACATATTTTGGGTTCTAATAATGGGCTGCCTTGGGGTCAGAGAGATGGCTCAGTTGGTAAAGTTGCCTGTCAAGTCTGACGTTCACTAGTGGAAGCTCTTCACACATGTGCCATGGCGCGTGCAGGGGGTGACGAGGGAGGGAGGGAAGGAGAAGGCTCTCTCTCTCTCTCTCTCTCTCTCTCTCTCTCTCTCTCTCTCTCTCTCTCTCTCTCTCTCTCTCACACACACACACACACAGAGAGAGAGAGAGAGAGAGAGAGCAGTAGGTGTGTGTGTATAAACACACGGGAAAGATGTCTTTTCTGGATATTTCAGCTTAAGAGGTATCAGCTTTTCAGACCAAAGGAGAACCCAGGCTGGTGGGAAAGACATAACCACTTACGCAGAACTAGTTACGTAGCCTAGGCTGGCCTCAAACTCATGACAATCATGCTTCCAGGATTACAGGAGTGCACCACCACACCTGGCAAAAATTTTTCGTTTTATTTGTTGGTTTGAGACAGGGTCAGAACAACATGCCGTCTAGGACCCCAGACAGGGGGATCCAGGTCTCAACAGCCAAATAATGGCAGGTTTGGACACCCAGAATAAAAGGAACTCTGAAGAGAACTCAGGGGGACAGTGGCAGGAGATTTTGGAGTGTTGGCTACTCAGTGAAGGGGGCAGAAGACAGACAGGGCATGTAGTCATGCTGTGATGGCCTAACAGCCCAGTATTGCCTTCAAACATCCTATCCCCCAGGTGGTGTGGAATATTACTTTAACTGTGCAAAGGTGTGCTGCTTTGTTTATGCCGCATTTGTTTAATTGTGTGAAGGTGTGTCCTTGTTGCACGTTGCCTGCCTAAAGCACCCGGTTGGTCTGGTAAAAAGCTAAATGGCCAATAGCTAGGCAGTAGAGGGATAAGCGAAGCTCACAAGCAGAGAGACTAAGCAGGAGGAGGAATCTAGGCTTGAGAGAGATCGAAAAAGAGGAAACACCCAGAACCAGGCAGCCACTGCCAGCCAGGCACACACGCAGGAATAGTAGGCTATACAGAATGAAAGACAGGTAAGAGCCCCTAGGCACAGTGTAGATGAAGAGAAACAGGTTAAATTAAGTTATGAGAGCTAGTGGGATAAGCATAAGGCCGAGCATTCATAACTAATAAGAGATTCTGTGTCATGATTTGGGGGCTGCCAGTTCGAGAAAGCCTGCTACACCAAGGAGCCTAAATTCTTAGTGAAGTAAGACCTGCTGTGTTGAGGGTGGAGAGGCAGCCCAGCCATTTTGAGCACTTGCTGCTCTTTCAGAGTGCCAGCTCCCGTGTCACAAACTCTGCAGCTCCAGGGAGTCTGACACCCTCTCCTGGCTTCTGTGGGCACCTGTATGTACACACAGGCACGCACGTGCACACACACATGCGCACACATACACATTAGTATTTTTACGGATAGTTTGTGTTGGAGCTTGTATAGATCAATGGCAGGGTGCATGTTTAACACACAGTGCCCAGGATTAACTATGGCACCAAAGAGAGAAGGGAAAAGGGGGCGTGGAAACTCTGCTCAACTCATTTCCTTATAGTCTGTGAAAAGCAGGAATAATTCTTTTAATTTTTTAAAGATTTATTTTTTGTGTATTTTGCCTGCATGCATGGTGCCCATGCAGGGAGGGTTTAGAGGGGGGCATCAGATCCCCTGGGATTGGGGTTACAGCTGGTTGTGAGCTACCTTGTGGAGACTGGGAACTGAACCCGAGTTGTGGGGGAGAGCAACAAGTGTTCTTAGCTGCTGAGCCATCTCTTTTTTTTTTTCTTTTTGAGACAGGGTCTTGCTGTGTCTAGTCCCTGCTTATGCTGGTATACTTGTTCCGTAGACCAGGCTAGCCTGCAGTTTGTGCTGCTCCTCCCAGGCGCTTCTGTACACCTGTGTCCTGTCCCTTCGCTCTCCCCGACCTCTGACCAGGTCTATAGCCTACTCGAACCTCTACGAATGACACAGAGCAGGGACGGAAGCCTATGAATTTACCAGGAATTCTGGCATCTGCATTTATTTGGTTGGTTAGACAGGGTCTCATAGCCCAAGCCAACCTTGGCTCATTCTGCTGCCATCTCCCAAGGCTGGGATTGCAGCCATGCCAGGCTTTTTTGTTTTTATTTTTGAAATGTGTGGACAGAATGATATCAGTGACTTATAACTTAGCTATGCCCGGCCTCATGACCACAGCTACATAGGCATTTCTGGGAAGTACCATTCTGCTTCTGCTTTCTGTCTGTCTGTCTATAAGTCACCTGAGTGTTAGTTAGTCCACGAGCCTCTTTACCAGATCAGAAAGGCTCACAGGTGCGAGACTGGGGAGACTTCCTGCTTCCCTGGACCACTGTGTCTAACCAGCTCCATCAAGGACAGACGAGCTCTGTGCATATGCCTTCTCATGGCTTTAGTTTTCATTTTAATTTTTTTTCCTTTCTTTTCTGTTTGAGACAGGGTCTTGTAGGTTGGTCCAGAATTCACTGTGTAAACCAGGTTAGCCTGAAAATCATAACAATAGATCATCAAGCCACGGTGGTGATGTCTCTCTAATCCCAGCACCAGGGAGGCAGAGGCAGGAGGATCTCTATGAGTTCGAAGATAGCCTGTTCTACATAGTGAGCTCCTGGACAGCCAGGGCTACATAGAGATTGTCTCAAAAACAAAACAAAATAATGACAGTCCTCCTGCCCTAGGCCCCTAAGTGCTAGAATTGCAGGTGTACACCACCATACCCAGCTCTTATTTTTAAGGGTGTGTGTGTGCACTCACGTAAATGGAGGTCATAGGTCAGCTTTCAGGAGTCCTCTCTTTTACCACATTTTGTTTTGGGGATCAAATTCAGGTTGTCAGGTTTGGTAGTAAGTACCTTCCTTCAACAACTAACCATCTTGTTGACCCTATTATTTTTTTAGTTCCTCAGTATGTCATTGATCTCTTCTACAGTTTAAAAAAAAATCAAAGCCTCAAAGTAAACAAAACCCAGTAGAGCTCCCACAAAGCTCAGGCAGGACCACTCTTCCTTGGCAGTCCCTGCCAGTCCCCCTCAGATGCCACTGTCTAGCTGCTGTGGACATGGGCTGAGCTTGCCAGCCTCAGGGCACCTGCTGACTCATGCTTACTCCGGGATCCTACGACCCCAGCTCTCCTGCGGCTCAGTCCCTGTGGGAGCTCCCACCCTGTGCCCTCCCACCCATCTCGGAGCCCACCTGGAAGACATTGTTGGCACACTTACAGCCACCCGTGCCCTCCCAGCTGTCCAGGGGCCCACCTGGAAGACATCGTTGGCACACTTGCGGCACAGGTTGTGCTGGCAGGGCAGGATCACCACGGGCTTGGAGAACATCTCCAGGCAGATGGGGCAGATGAGCTGCTTCTCCAGGTTGTCCATGCTGTGTGCATCCCCGAGCAGCGGCTTGAAACCCACCGTGAAGTTCATCCCTCGGTGCTCTCGTGCCTGCCTTGGCTGTGGCCCTGTTCCCGGCCTTCCCGCTGCCTGTGCACCCCTTCCTTGCAAACTCTAGACTGTGGATTCTTAGGATCCCTGCTATTGCTCCCTCTTGAGTGACGTCTCCTGTCTCTTCCTCTAACAGCTCCTCTCACCCTGGCTATTTCCAGACTCGTCTGTCCGCACTCCTTGCTCAGAAGCCTCTCCAGGCACTTGTGGCTTTAGCTCCCCTAAACCACCCTTTGTCCACTCTGCAGGCAGTACTGTTTGTCCCTTACTCCCCAGAGAGATTAATATTACTGTGGGGGCAGGGAGACATGGGGCATCTGTGTGACATTCCAGTTCCCAATTTAGCTCGTGTAAGGCGAGCCACAGCTGTCCCGGACCAAGTGACCCTGACTCACTCAGAAAGCAGTGGCTTTCTTGAGCAAGAAGAGCAGGGGCGTCATGGCTTTCAGTGGAAGGCAAGCCAGCAAAGATGTGGGGCTCACTCATCACTGGGAAGGTTCTGGCTTGAGACCTTATTCCAAATAGTGATACAGTCTCCAACAGACCCTAGAGAAAGAACTTTTTTTGTTGTTTGGTTGGTTTTTCAAGACAAGGTTTCTCTGTGTAACAGCCCTAGCTGTCCTGGAACTAGCTCTTGTAGACCAGGCTGGTCTTGAACTCACAAAGATCTGCTTGCCTTTGCCTCTGCCTGCTGAGTGCTGGGATTAAATGCATGTGCCACCACCATGGCCTGGCTGAGGAAGAACTTCTTGCCTCATCTGTTTGGCCCATGTTTGTTCTTGCTCAGCCTTTTTTTTTTTTTTTAACTACTTTTACTTTTAAAAGGGAGGGGGGAAGGCATGGAGCATATGTGGAGGTCACAGGTCAACTGACAGGGGTCAGTTCTTTTTCTTCAGAGCGTGGCTTCCAGAAATTGAACTCAGGCCATCAGATTTGGTGACAAATTTAGCCACACAACTCCCTCTCCCTTATTAAAGACAGACTTTCATGTAGACTAGGCTAGCATCAGCAAAGATGACCTTGGATTCTTGATCCTCCTGCCTCTACATCCACAGTGCTGGGGTCAGAGGAGAGCACTATCATTCGTTCCCAGTCTATGAGGTGCTGGGAATCAACGCAGGGTCTCATGTGCTAGACAAGCACATTCCACGGACTGACTACGTCACCCTTGGATACCTGTTATATCATCGGAGGAGAGCAGCTGAAGAGGCAAGAGAAGGCTGCTGTGCTGGGTCCAGGCCTGCCTTATGATGCGGACGCAAGAGTGTGTGATTCTGGTCCGCTACTATAGTAGAGACGCCATTTCAAGGATGCTAAAATTGCTTAGAAACTGAGACAAGCGTGGACTGGAGATGTCTCAGTGGCTAAGGCAGCCTGCCATTCACTCATGAGGACTGGAGTTCAGAACCCAACCCTCACAACCATCTGTCCCATCACCCCAGCTCCAAGGGAATCAGCGCCCTCTTCTGGCCTCTATAGGCATGCACAGACACATGTGCATAATATTTACACGGACATGCACACAGATGCACACACAAACATACATAAATAAAAAGAAAAAAGTTAAGCTGGCTGTTGTGGCGCACGCCTTTAATCTCAGCACTTGGGAGGCAGAGGCAGGCAAATCTCAGTGAGTCTGAGGCCAGCCTGGACTACAAAGCGAGAGTTCCAGGACAGTCAGAGCTGTTACACAAAGAAGCCCTGTCTTGAAAAAAAAAGTTGTGAGAAACAGATGTGGCTAGAAGAATCCACATGCCACAGATATCTGGAACACCAGTGAGCCAGTCTGCAGAGAAATCTTAGGACCGTTGGGAATCAACTCTGCTGACCACAGTCTCATCCCAGACATGAGCAGTAGACTTTGGACTTTTCCTCTGTCCCCCACACAACTTGTCTTTTTGGGAGGTCCACCATACACTGGAATCGGACAAAGCTCTTTCATTATCGACATTCTTTATTTAGTCCTTCTCTCAGTGAGGGCACAGAGGTTTGAGGGTTCGCAGGCCCCATCCCGTATGAGTGAGAAACGGTAAAGAGGATATGGAGAGGGCGCCAAGCCAACAGCACACTGAGGCTAGAGTGACGTTTCCGAGTACTGTCTGTCTCCAACACAGTCCACGCCCCTGCATTCAGAACAAATACACAGTGATGGGTCTTTATGAGGTGTCTAAAGGGTGGAGGCAGAGGCCCTGGTGCATGGGCAGCCAGTCCACAGGACCACGGCTGATAGCGGGTCCAGGGATGAGGCTGAAGTCCAAAGGGAAACACAAACCTCAGGTGCACTCACATATTTCCCAAGCTGTCTTATGAGTAGGGTGTCATTGCCAATGGTGGAGGTAAGAGAAGAGGGTGAGACCTGCCTCCCTAAGGGGCATTGCTAAGAAATGAGGCCAGCGCTAGAAGTTCTCAGTACACAAAGTCGCAACAAAGGAGGATTAGCTGGGCCACCAGCTCTTGGGACAGCAGTCACCTTGCTTGGTGAGGAGGGGCTTGGTGAAGCTGATCAGCAAATCCCCAGGGACCCATCTGACATGGCAAGTAGCTAGGCATGCACTGGAAAAAGAGTTCTCAGGACATGCCTGCCACAGGGCCTGAGACCTCGCGTGGATAACGATGGGGAGGGGCTAGAGCTAAAGAAGAGTTGCAGAAGGCTCTGTGTGCACAGGCTCGGTGGCACCCCGAGGGCAGAGAGAGATGTTGCCCTTTCTAGGACTGATGTTGGCATGGACTGCTTTTAAGAACAGGAGTCAAGTCAGGGTCAATGTCAGGATAGGGCTACGTGCTTCTCTCTTCAGTGAGTCCAGTGGGCTGGGTGACGGGGGACTCTAACTGACCCAGCACCTAATGGCAGAAACAGTTTCATTGGAACCTTATTAGGATAACCACCAAGAATGGAAGTACTATCTATGCTTTAAAGTATATAATACAGACACATAGATATGTGTTATATACACATATGCACACAAATATCATAGATGATTATATATGATATATAATGTGTATGCATGCGTATACGAGTGTAGGTTCCCGTGCCATGGCATGTGTGCAGAGATCAGAGGACAATCTGCAGGAGTCCTTTCTCTCCACCACGTGGGTCCCAGAGGTCAAACTCGGGTAGTCAGGCTCGCCTGCTGAGCCGTCTCAGGGGCTTCTCTTCCCCGGTAGCCATTGCGGCTCCTCCATTCCATACCTCACTCTTCTGCATTTCCTTATTAGTCATTGCTGTCTTCATTCTCTATTAAAACCGTGCATTGTGCTGCTGGGGTGGAATTACAACATGCTCACATATCTACAGTAACAACCCTTCCAGAAAACCCTTCCCTTAGCGTCACCCATTCGCACCACCAGGTGGCATAGTGTGAACTTCAACCAACATCCCATTTTATACGGTTACCTATCTGGGGTGGGAACAGCCTCAAACAATTTATTCCCCCAACCCCAAGGCTGAGGATGGCACCCAGGGCCCAGCACATGGAAGATCCTGGGTGCCATCCCCAGCCTTGGGGACCCAGCACGTGGAAGACCCTGGGTACCAACCGCAGCCTTGGGGGCCTAGCACGTGGAAGACCCTGGGTACCATCCGCAGCCTTGGGGGCCTCTCACATGGAAGGCCCTGGGTGCTATCCACAGCCTTGGGGGCCTAGCACGTGGAAAGCCCTGGGTGCCATCCCCAGTCTTGAGGCTGGGGGAATAAATTGTTTGAGACTGTTCCCACCTCCCTACCTGCTCTGGTGGGCTGAGTACAGACGTTTCTCTGCTGCTTCCTGTGAACTTCTTCGGTTGGTGGAGTAAGATATCCACAGCAAAAGCAGCAGCAGCAGCAGCAACAGCAGCAAGTCAAGAGGTAGCAAAGGATGACAAGTGTCTACAAGACAGGGGAGAGGCCATGGCACCCTGTTCCTTTTGTAGCTCCCTGCAGGTCCTCCCGCCATCCTCACGCCCAGAAAGTGAGAACAGAGGCATCTGTCTAGAGAGGAAGGCAGCCCTTCCCCCTTCCTTACTCTGTTGACACAGACAGAATCATACTATGTAGCCCAGGCTACCCAGTGCCTCCCAAGGGCTGGGCTCAGAGGCATGAGCCCCCGCAGCTGGCTTTATCTTATGTGTGGGTGTTCTGCCTTCATGTATGTCTGTGCACCATGTGCTTGCCTGGTGCCCGCAGAATCCAGACGATAGCTCTGGGACGGGAGTTACGGGATGTCGTGAGCTACCATGTGAGTGCTGGGAATCGCACCCAGGTCCTCTAAAAGAGCATTAAACACTCCCACTGTGAGCCATCTCTCCAGCCCCTGCCTCCAACTCCTTTCTTACTTTGAGGGACTAGGAAGATGACAGTACCTTGAACCAACAGCTGTTGGCAATAAAATAGTATCTGACGCCTTCTTCACCAAAATGATCAAATAGGTATATTCCCAGTGAGCCATGCTTGTCATAGATTTTCTTTTTGGTAGGGTCACTGAGTACAGCATGGGCTGTGTTGATCTCTTTGAAGAATTCTGCTGCTTGAGTGTCCCCTGGATTCTTGTCGGGGTGATACTGCAAGGCCAGTTTCCTACCCAGGCGATACCCAAAGGACAGTGGGGGAGGTGTAGGAAGTGGCCGAGAAGGGAAGGTTAGGAGGAATGGCAGAGTGGGATCTTTCGATGATGCACGGGGTACATGGGAGGTACACAGGATGGAGACAAGGTCACATCTGAAGAAGGAGTGGCCTTCTTTGGCCCCCAAATAAAAGCTTCTTAGGATTAAAAAAAAAGAGAGAGAGAGAAGGTCTGCTGAGGTAAAGGGATTGAGGGGAACTACCAGGGTTGAATAAATGGCAGGGGTCTGAACCTGTAGGCTTTTTTGACCTCTTCAGGCCGGGCATCTTTCTTTAGTTCCAGTACTGCGTAGAGGCTTGTTCCAGTCTTGGACAGTCTCCGGGGTGTGTCATCTCTTTGAGGCATGCTCTGGGCCAAAAGGACGAACATTACAAGACAACAGTCTATGGCTACTGTGACTGGAATCGGAAGAATGCAGAAAGGTAACGAGGATCCGTCTTCTCTTCGCGGTTCCCATAAACCGCCCTCCACCTGCCCAAGCTGGTAGCTGGGTTTGAAAGACCAGGATAACCCAACCATTAAATGGGGGGTAGATGAGAAATGGAGAAAAGTAACAGGCGGGAAAGAGCTAGCCAGACCAGAGCCCG